GGCCGTGTGTGAGAAGGGCGGGAAGGGGCTCTCCTTGAAACCAGACAAAAAGAGGCTCTCGCCCGCGAGGAGGAGCGGAGGGCCTGGGAGCGCACTCCTTGGGGGGGCTGTCCGGGTGACCTGCCTAACCCAGCGGCTTGTTTCTCTCCCCGCCAGGTTGTCTATCAAGTTCCCCTAAAGGAAAATCATGTCTTGAAGAGAAATGTGGATCAACAGCTAAGAATTAAGATTATATATGACAGAAGTGTTGAGGAGTGAGTATAATGTTGTGGTGACTTTTTTTTTTTTGCCATATCTGAGAATGGAAATCCTGTTAACTAAAGCTTGTTTGTTTTGTTTTTATAAAATATAGTTTGCTACCTGAGAAAAGACACCTTATAAAGGTATGTCATGTTTGCTTCCCTCTTTTGTTTGTACATATTTTATTATGTGGGTGGAGTTAAGGCTTTGCCAATTCAAAGCCTTTAATGAAATGCTTGGAATATCAGCAATCTCATGTTCTCTAATCGGGGAAACCAAGGCTCTGTGTAGAGATTATGCCTTAATTCCACATACTTCCAGTGCTCTGTTGAATGTTGTTTGATGGGTGCTTGCTAGATCCTGATGGCCAAAGATTCAGGGAGCAATATGTATATAGATCTTAAAACTTTTTTGGCCCCATTAAGAGTATCTTAAATATCTCTCCTGGATTCTTTTGAGATACTGTGCAAGTAAGTACTAAAAGAGAGTCAGGCTTGAGGATTGCAGAGAGGTGGGAGCTCCAAGGAAATTTGTGATGGATAGTTCCCAGTGACCAGTAAGTTCAGGGCCGAAATAAATTCAGCCTCTTTGAAGCCGTACATTCAAATGAATACTGGCTCCCTTCTCATTTTGTCATTCCCGTAACAAAATACGGGGATATTGAAACAAAATATTTCCTAAATATATTTATAACAGTTGAACTTCTCAGGAAGTCTGGATTTCTGCTGTTCTGCAGCATCTAGCAAGTTTCATGTGACTTATGTCTGCACTGCTGCTGGGTGACTTTTACTTTTGTTCTATTTAGAACAAACTTTTTCCACAAGCTATATCTTATTTGGAGAAGACATTTCAAGTGCGCAAATCCACGGGTACTATATTACTAAGCAGGTACGTGAAAGTTTGTTGGAAATTGCTTGCTGTATTTGATGTTTGACTTTGTGTTGTATAGACTTTAAAATAAGAATAGAATAAGAGCCTAAGAAAAGACCTCCTGAATCAGACCAGTGACCCATGTGACCCAGTGGTGGTAGCAGATGCTACCATGTGGTAGCATTATTAGGGACCGTTCACAAATCTGCCAACCTTCCGTGAGTGACATCTACCTTTGTTTTATCTGAGATTTTAAAGGGTACACATGGTGCCTGTTTCCTTTTACGTGTACCCCCATGTATGAACCTCTTCCTAATTGGTCTTTGAACCTATGGATACTCCATGAACAATGGGAAGCATTAGGTCTTCCAGAGCAGGGTAGCTAACAATTCTCACCATGGAAGTTACATTAAATACTGCATTACAGTGTTGTTGGATGCGGTAAGATTATTCTACAGTTTAATTATAAAAGTGTGCTGACTGTCTTTCATGTTTGATTGAAGGCAGTGTGCAACAAACCAATATTTAAGGAGGAAAGCTGACCCTCACAGATACTGCCGAGGAGCGTGCGCAGACCATACAAGATGTGGGCCGGTTATAGTTCCTGAGAAACACCTCCAGGTAAGCTAAGCCATCCAAGAGCTTCTTAACCTTTGAGATATGATTGTTTGTGGAAATTAATATAACAGTTAGTATCGCTGACTGTACATAAGTGACCTGTTTGCAGGAGATCGCTTGAGTAACAGAACAACTTTGATTAGTGGACGTTTCTTTATGCTGCTGAACAGAAAGTCAAGTAAAACTGGACTGTTTACTGTTCTCTAAGACTGTGTTATAATGAACTGTACAGAGAGGATGAGATTCAAAGCCTGTTAAATTACTACTAGTCACCTCATTATTCACCTTGGTCAATTAGTCAGAATTTCACAGAATTAATAATAAGGTTTGATTTTTTTTTTTTTTTTTTTTTTTTTTAAGACCTTATTTGAAGAGGTTATCCACTGAACTGGGAGCATGGTGCAGGAAATGCTTTTCACTTGTTTTCTTGTGTGGATTTTTGATTCATCTACAGTATGTGACTGGTAGATTTCTTTCTTTCTCTTAGCTTGAAGTTTCAACTACAGTATTAAAAATTTACCAGATCACATGTAAAAAGCAATAGCTACTTATCTATTCTATTTGTGAGCCAAAAGTTTTTTAATTTGTAGGAAATAAAGGGTGCTAATTTGGGGATATCTAGCTTGGCAGGCCCTCTTTTTTCAAAAGCTGCCACCTTCCTGGTGTCTTAATAAATCAACAGAGCTAGTAATTTGAAAGTTACTCCTTGGCACTGGTTTTGTTTACTGTCTTCATATGGGGTTTTCTCATCTTCTACTGTCTCACAATGGCGTTTATTCTTGGCTTCAAGCTAACTGAATTTTGTCATGCAAAGTTTTGGTCAGGGCTAAAGTATTTTAATTGTTCCATTTGAACATTGTCAAAGCAATGCAGGGTCTGCAATGAGAATGAATGGCACTGCAGGACCACCGACTTACCTGACCAAGAAGGGGTTCGAGATGCCGACTTTGTACTTTATGTTAGTGCTCTCACTACTGAAAGGTGTGGCCATGAAAATATCATTGCATATGCAGCCTACTGCCAACTGGAAGCTGAAATGGACAGGCAAGTATTTCTGCTGGTACAAACTTTTTTTAAAAATTAAATTTTCAAGTTTTTAAATTGTGTAAATGTGGAGTTTAATTGTTTGCCTGTCTTGTATAGTATAGGAAAGTAGAAGTCGTTACTGAAATAGAGAAGCACTGTATTTATGTAAAACCACAAAGCAATCAAATAGTGCTTAACTTGCTGAGACGTTTAATTCAAAGCTAGTTATCCACTGTTTTTGCCTTATGTCATACTTCAGCAAATTTAAAGGAGGATGCAAATGGGCCCTACTTAATGTGCCTTTTGCTTCTATTTGGGATGTAGTCATTGTAATAGACACTTTGTACCTCTATAGTGTCTTACCTAAAATTCAGATCTCCTTTACCGTTGTCACTAACACCTGTGCAGAATACTGAATATTGAGATTGGTCCCAGCCCATCCCTCCCCATTTCAACAGCAAACGAGTCACTGTGTTTTTAACAGGCTATTTATTAACTATCAGGGAAGTTGTTTGGAAGGACTTATTTTTACATTAGTCTCCATTTTCTTTTAAATCTTCTGCCTCTTCAAGTGAATATGTTTTGAATTTGCTAGTATTTTACTGAAAACAATTTAATTTTAAAACTGTCTTCCAGGCCAATAGCAGGATATGCTAACTTGTGTCCAAATATGATTTCAACGCAAGCTCAGGAATTCGTTGGCATGTTGTCTACAGTGAAACATGAGATTATCCATGCACTGGTAAGGGTTGATGTTATAAAATGGGTTTCCTGGAAATCTGTGCCTGCTTCCTTGCATACCTCCAGCCTGTTGCAAGAGGATGTTTGGTGGAGAAAAGCTCTTGCTTTGCCTCCTTTAATTTGTGTGTTAATCGCCTTGAGATGCAGTACTTCCAGTGTTATCTGCTGTGGGAGCGATAACTTTTTCATGGCGTTTGTCTCTTGTATGTGAATGTTTTACCAAAGGTTTCTGTGTGCTTCACTTTTAACTTGAAGGGTTTCTCTGCTGGACTGTTTGCATTTTATCGTGATGATGATGGAAAACCTTTGACAACAAGATATGCAGATGGCCTCCCTCCTTTTAATGAAAGGTATTTTTTTTTTTTTTTTTGACCTCTTGGTACTCCCACTGAAGGATGTTTTCATGTTGCCTTTTTAGGATGTATTCTTGCCTGTTGAAAATCCGACTTGATTCCATTATTAGAATGCTTTACCTTTATTATGTTCAAACACTGGCATGGTATGGGTTTTTTTTAGTCCATCTTTACAATGGCATTAAGCACTTCTATTATCCACATATAACTAAGGCAGGATTTCATTTATCAGGAGGCTTGAAGTTAAGCATTAAAATTACCCATGCTTAAATTTTTATGCTTGCTGGACACCTTACTAAATTGACACTTGTATTTTCTGTGGTCTGTCTCATGTGAATTCAGTTCAGTCATATATCACTCAAGATTTATAGCAATGCAGAACTGACAATGTGTATAGTCTGCTGTGTGATTTTTCTGACTTGTTATTGAATGAACAGTTTGCTTTTTTTTTTTTTTTCCATTTAGTTGATATTGTAGAAATGTTCTTCTAGGAGTTTTTTGGGAGGTGGAAAGGTAGAGAGCTTTTGGGTTTGTTCACCATCCCTTTTATAATAGCAATTCTGAGGGGTTTTTTTATTTCATTTCTTCCACTTTTGGTAACTGTAGAAAATGTCTTGAGTCTACAGACATCTTTTTAATGATCTTACTTTGGCTTATTAAGTCAGAGTTGTGTATATAATGAATGCCTATCTTACAAAGGAGAAATGTTGCATAATAAATTTAAACTTCAGAAAGCATATGGAAATACAGAGATTATTCATGATTCTGTTTCTTACGGAGATAAATCTTTGCATAGTAGCATTTATTTGTGGGAAAGATTTGTAACCAAAACATTCTTCTTACAGTTTAGGTTTGTATCAGTGGAGCAATAAAGTCGTTCATAAAGCAGTGAGGTTATGGGACATACGTGGTGGCAAAATGCTGCGCCATGCTGTTCATCTTCTGGTAACACCTCGTGTAGTTGTAAGTGTGGATTAACTTAAATTTTCACGTTTTGTATGCCAAGGTTACCATCACATTCTCGAGCTATAAATATTTCTTATTCTTTAAAAAGTAATAACCTAGCATTGAATACCCTTTTCCTGAAAGTATGGCCCAAAGACTATGCGATTAAGATGGTATAATTAATTGAGAGGGTGTATCCGAAGTGGAAAATGGTTGACAGGCAGTGTGGAATAAATAAATTGACATAGTAAAAGACAATGAAGGGACTGGGAATTATTATAAAAGGTTAAGTGAAATTATAAATTATAATAAATAAATTATAAAATATTATAAAGGTTATTATAAATTATAAAAGGTTAAGCGAAACTGATGTTGAATAGATTCCTTAATCCTACTCTTCAGATGTTTTCCTACAGACTTAGATATCTAATATTCCTGTGGCCTTAGTGTTGTCACTGCTTTTCTCATTTATAAGTTCATCCTATCTTCTACTTTGTAAAAGCATTGTTTAAATCTTTTCCTAATTGTATTGATTACAAAATAATGCAACTGACACTTTGTCATGTTTAAAAAGAAATTCCTCAAGTATTCTTGGAAATCTTTCTTGCTTCCCACGCTTCTGCTCTCCCCCCTGCCCCCAACAGAACATATGCTTAAGTGTAATAAATTGGTACTGGAAATAAGTTAGTGTTAATCATGTTTGTCCACAAATAATATTTTTGTTTGTTTTAAATATAACACATTATATATAGAGCAAACTTGGTTTAATTACCCCTGTTTTGAAAACTGGCCATGCTAGTCAGGCTGTTCAGAGCATTACAGGTGCCCCTGGCAATGCCACACTGGCAAAGGCTGGACTCCTGACCATAAGACTGCAGCATTGTTGCAATGCCTCTTAAGATTTTCAAATATTTTGCAGAAAACACTTCCCCATGCAAAACAAGTGAACATGTACAGCTTCCTAATAGAAAAGTGGGGTTTTTTTAATTTTCTCTGAAACGTTTGACAGAAGCAGGGTTTTGTAGTGTTCCTACATTGTTTGGGGTTTGTTGGGTTTTTTTTGTTTTGGTTTGTTTTTTTTAATATCATCTTTAGTGTGCGCATGCTATTCTCAGCTAATTCTGTTGCTGTTTTATTCTTGTAAACTTCCATCGTTTATTTCCAGGAGATAAGTAGACAGATTGTTAGGCTTGGTGTTGGGGTACTTGCTGGCTTAGTCAACCTCTGAGTAGAAGTGTTTTAAACCTGGAGGAAAACAAGATGGTAGAAAACGAAATGCTGAAATACATCTAAAAGATAATTCTAGAAGATTAGGACTGCATATCAGTATCTGTCTCAATATTCTGAGAGTTGTGTTGAAATGTTTTCTTTCTAGGAAGAAGCTCGAAAACATTTTAATTGTCCAATTCTAGAGGGAATGGAGCTTGAAAATCAAGGTGGCATGGGTACTGAGCTCAATCACTGGGAGAAGAGATTGTTGGAGGTTAGTGCTGATATTAGGAATGGAGTGGGATGTGGGAATGTCTGCTCTCCCCGCCTTTATTTTAGGTTTATAGTGATACCTACTGGAGCCTTGAAAGTGCAGGTGTATCAAATCTCACTGAAATACATCGCAAACAGTACTAAACTACAAATACTTATATGTCCAATTTCTAGATAAATCCATCTTTCTACCTTATTGCTAAGTCTCACAGTATGAGTCTGAGGTAAGCTGTTTACTAAAAACCTAAATGTCTCTTACTTTTGTGTGCCATTTACCTTTTTGAGGAGGTATGCTCCCTTTTTTGGGGAAAAGAGGTATTCCTTTGAGTCAATTCAACTTTGTCACCCTCTGCCTGGACTGGGAAGACTGCCATTAGAATGAGGATAATGCTAAGGATTGAATAGGATTAGCAAAAAGGTCACAATTACTAGTGTCCTTTACACCTTTCCAGAGAAAGTTTGGTTTTGGTCTTGATCCAACTCTCATTAAGTATTGTAGTGGTAGCAAATCTGGCACTAATAAGTCTGCTGGCAATAACTCCTTCTAACCACACTAGTAGAGAGGGAAGGCTGGAAAACTACATGTTTTGAAGAAATAATAGAAATAAGATGAAGTTTGGTAATAGAAGTCCCAGAGTTGTGTAGTTAAAGGTGAGTGATTTTTGCTATAAGCCTGACATTTATCAGTTGGAAATGACTGAGCAGGAAAAAGACATGGGTGTTAAAGTTGCCAGTTGTAATATGATTAGGAAACTCCAAGGTGACCAGAGTTGCTCTTTGAGGATGGTGTGAACTTGCTTATTTTTAAATGAGATAGAAAATTCCACTGCCACGCTAATAAAGCTTCCTTTGGCGTGCTGTGTTCCTTTAGTCACATGTCACCTTGCTCCTGAAAAGGACTACTAGAAATTCTAGGAAAAATAAAAATGGGTCTTATGCAAGACAGTTACATTAGCTTGGCTTTCAGCTTCCCAAAAGGAGACAGAAGAGGGGGGGGGGGGGGTTTGCTACTCATAAATATGCTAGAAGAAGGAAAAGTTTTATTTTACCTAAAGAAAAATGAGTATGTGTTGGTCATGAATAAGGCTTAGCTGGAATTTGGAATGAGGTTTCTGACTGCTAGAATTCTGAAGCTGTGTAGCGGGGAAGGGAGCTACACTCTTCATCCCCTTTATGAAAGAGGTTGGGATTTGATTGCCACTAGTAAGAAGGGACTGGAAATAAAATGCTTTTTCATAGGAAGTGTTTTCTTACAGTGATGATTTTCAATGGCTTGCTAATAGTAACTGGTAACTTTCAGAATGAAGCAATGACTGGATCCCATACACAGAATAGAGTCTTTTCCAGGATCACCTTAGCGTTAATGGAAGACACAGGGTAAGAATTAATAAGAATGGGGGTGTTTCTTGGTTCATTTGTGTTTGGTTCTCATTGTACTTGATTCTATTTGGAATTGATGCACTTGTGCTTATCTATCTGCAATACAGATAATTAGCATTACATTAGCCAAGGAATTATACCTAGTATGTTAATTTTTCTTCATGTATTTCAAAACCCATCCATTCTTAATCTAGCCGTAAAAAACCCCATGCGTTGCAACCATGCGTTGCGTAGTACTGTTTGTAGTGTCTGTTTACTTTTTTCTTAATACGTCTTCTCTCAGTTGCATGCCATACATGTTATTTTTTCAGCTCAAGAAAAAAAATCTAAGCATAAGTTATTTAAAATTTCATCTTTCTGTATGCATTATTCCTTTGCAGATCACGATGCATTGCTGTTGAACAAATAAGCAATAAAATTTTCTTTCATTCATTGTGACTTAAAAAATAGTGTAATTATAATGTATTTTCTCATAGGCAGAAAGGGATGCAGTTTCCCTTTTTCTTCATTTGAAGACCCTAAGGCATAGTATGAAGTTCTTTGAACTGCTGTTTTATTAATCAGAACACTATTTTTTGAAGTAACTATATTCTCATTTCAAAATACCTTTACAGCTGGTATAAAGCAAACTACAGCATGGCAGAGAAATTAGATTGGGGGCACAATAAAGGCTGTGACTTTGTAATGAAGAGCTGTAAATTCTGGATCGACCAAAGAAGGCAAAAGTAAGAATACAGTCTTTTTAAAAAAAATAAAGAGGAAATCCTGATGCTTGCTTGTGTTCGCCCTTCAAATGCAAGTCAGTAAAAAGAAGTAGAGGTAGATGCAGACTACCAAGGAATGCTGTCCTAAGTACCTTTAGAATGCACCCATGAAGGAGCATGCCACCTAGAAAATACAGAGCCAAACATCTTAGGCTATAGAACGCATTTATACTATAAGAGGGTCATGCTTTAGAGAGGAGGGGAAGGGCTTACTCTAAAAGTGTTCCTTTTAATGGCAATGCAGCCTCTGTCATTTTGCATTACTGGTTTGTACTTAAAGCAACAGAAGGAGACAATAGCCATCTTAAAAAAAAAAAAAAAAAAAGCCTTCCTTTTTTTGTTTGTTACAATACTCCTGTATTTCTAGGACACAGCTGCAGAGTGGGCCTGGTTTTGCTTTTATGTTTTTTTCTTTAAAGTTTACAAAGCAATGTCATTAAAACTGAATAGGCAAGTGCATTGTAACTTTGTTTGCTGGCTTGATATTCTTTAAATCAGAAAGGTCATAACCAGATAAATAACAATAATTAGCCTCCAGAGAAGAAGTTGGTGCTTCTTTGCGTGGTTGATCAAGTGTGGGGGAGAGTGGGAACAGTCTTGACAGGCTACTTTGTTAAATTATGAAAAGCAGTTAAAGTGATCTAATGTGATTTTTATTTTCTTTTTTTTTTTTTTTTTTTTTGAGGAGGCAATTAATCAGTCCATACTGCGACACTTTGAGGAGTAATCCTTTGCAGTTAACCTGCAGACAGGACCAAAGAGCAGTAGCAGTGTGCAACTTGCAGAAGTTTCCAAAGCAGTTACCTCAGGAATATCAGGTATAATGGATCTTACTGTACCAAATAACTAAGTGTTTTCATTCTTGTGCTTTGCAGCCAGGTGATTATATTCATGTCGGTTTTTTTTCTTCTGAACTAGTAAATGAGTAGATATTGTGAAAAATGTCTGCTTAGTTTATTATAAGGAGTCTGGAGGCTGAAAAAAAAAGTCTTGTGATTTTGATAAAGGAATAAAGATGTCGCTTGGCCATCTAACCAAATATCAGGTGGAAATGTTGCAGTATAACAGAAGTCCTCCAGAATGTTTTGTTTGAGGTATTTTTTCATCCAATCTGCTGCCTTGTGTCACTGCATGCTAGGAAATTTGTTCTGTTTCATGCCAGAGAATGCTATAATTGCAAAGGGGTGGGGAATAATACATGCATATATGAAAATCTCTGCATTATTTAAGTATTCTCAAATACTTCTGGCTCGCCTGATTTATGGGTATTGTAAGTTGCTGTTAATAGCATTCCTTAGTTGTAATAGCTGATGTTCTTACAGCTGTAGTGGTTGGTTCTATTTTAAAAAACAGTTGTACACGTGTCTTTGTGCAAACTGCTTCACTGCGTATTTTGTTTTGCAGTATTTTGATAATCTTACTGGAGTACCAGCAGAAGAATTGCCTTATTATGGTGGCTCAGTGGAAATTGCTGATTATTGTCCCTTTAGTCAAGAATTCAGCTGGCATTTAAGTGGTGAATTTCAACGCAGCTCAGACTGTAGAATAACTGAAAACCAACCAGGTCAGTTTTCAGGACTTCAGCATGGTATTTAAGAGACTATGTGTGTTAATCTGGAATAGACTTGCTATACATCCGAACTAATTGGATGTGAAATTAATTTTATACTGCTAGCTGAGTAAAAGCTGTGCTGGGGTAAGAAGCATAGCTACCTTGTATACCTGGGGATCAAACACATCTAATACAAGAATCGCGTGAAAGTTGAACAGAAATTAACCCCAAATGATCCAAACATAAGACAAAGGGTGGGTGGGTTGGTTGGTTGAATCTCTGAAAAATAATTCTGCTTTCCACCTTTGTAGTGGTTTTTTTTTTTTTTTTTTTTGTTCAAGGCAAGGAGCTTTGCTAATTACCAGAACATGAGCTTATCTCCTAGGGTAGCACATGAATGTTCATTACTGCTGAGCTCCAGAATGCTGTAGGATATTACCTGTCTCTGCAGTGGTCTCAAAACCAAAGAAAGACAGACCCTCTGCCCTCAAGCCAGCAGTCACTGCTGGCAGTCCTTGGGGGCAAACATATTGACATAGTTCTGATGGAAAGTGCTTACTTTTGTTTGTTTGGGTTTTTTAAATCTTGGGTTTCTTCCCATTTTGTATTCAAGACAGTATCATTCCCAAATTGATAATGATTAACAGTCTGAAAGATTCCAAAAGTAAACCTTGAATTACATGGGGAGATGTTGACTACTTACAGCATATTAAGTTGATGTGGACTTCCTGTTCCCCTTGTAACCTGCAATTCAGTATATTCTTTCTATTTTAGATCCTGCCAAAAACTATGGTGCAGAGAAATACGGACCAAACTCTGTATGTCTTATTCAGAAATCTGCTTTTGTCATGGAACAGTGCAGGAGGAAACTCAGTTACCCTGACTGGGGTAGTGGCTGTTATCAAGTAAGTATGTGTTGGGTTTTTATCTTTATTTTTTTAAAAGAACACTAAAAGGAAAAGTCAGGCATAAAACGTAGGCTATGAGTGTTAGAACTTTGCATGTGGACACTGTACTTGATCTCCTCTGCCTTAAATCACTGGATGATATGACCTGCTTTGGAAATAAGTATATTCCCACCACAAGCCGGTAGTTTAGATCGCGTGTCGAATTAAGCATGTGACGAGTGGCACGGCTTGTGTGTTACTTCCAGTCTTGCTAGGGACTTCATCTGTCTTACCCCTGTGACAGTTTCTCTGCAGCTAAGTAAGAATACTTATATTGGAATCTCCTGTTGAAGCTTAATGTTAGTCAATCTGATTTTTTCAAAGGTGGAAAGCACTGTGCACATGTCACTTATTTTTCATTATCCTCGTTCTCTTCAGGACTATCTCGCTAAAAGTGTCACTTTCAACAAGAGCACGACTCTAAAGAAGTAGTCATTAGCAGAAGCTGAATTTCACTTGTTCTTAGTTGAGGGTCTGCCTAATTGCACAAAAAGAGCACAGTGCTTTAAAGCGTTCGTGAAGCAAATAGTTGCTCTGAGTCCATTAAAGTACTTGCAGTTAATCTATGCTCTAATACCAGGTGTTTACTAAATGTAGCATTTACTTATTGACAGACCCTCCAAACCTCAAAACATATTTCTGAAAATCATAATACAGACTACTTTTTTTTTTTTTTATTTTGAGGTTTCTTGTTCTCCCCAAGGGCTGCATGTTTGGGTCAAGGACACTGCGTACTTGTGCAGCCGTTCGGGTCAGGTATTAACTGTGAGCATTCAGATGAATGGCTGGATGCATGTTGGGAATCTGATTTGCCCAGCCTGTTCAGACTTCTGTGACTCCTGTCCCCCAGAGCGGGATCCTCCAGCTTCTAACTTAACAAGAGCTGCACCAATCGGTAGGTTGCCTTATTTGCTGAAGTGAAATTTCATTTTAAACATCTGAATATTCTAAAGGTTTGTGTCAGCTCTGTCGGGGAACAGGAAGGGAGAGCCATGGTTTGGCTATTCGAAGATCCTAGGCGTAGGAGTTGGAGGAAGATGGCAAGGGTGCTCTGCTTTTTGCTGTGCAGTCGTGCAGGATAGTGGCTAACGTAGGAGAAACGTGTCTGAAACCCAGCTACTTCATGTCATGCCTCCTTCTGGTGACTGTCCCAGAAATCTAGCTTTAGCCTAGCAACTTACCAGAAAATCTGCTATGTTTTTTGAAGGCTGTATCATTATTAAAACTTTCAAAATTATCACCTTGGTGGGAAGTGAGTTCTCGCTTGTATAACTTGACAATCTTAACACTGTAACCCAGAACATGAAAGACGGATGTCAGTTTGCTTTTTGAGGGAGGAAAAAAAGCTCAGTTCACCGACTACCAGTTAATGTTTTTGTCAAGAACAGATGGCTTTCTAAAAAGCTGATTGATTGAAAGAGAACGCTCTTTACTGTATTTTGCACTAGTGGCTTATTTTTAAGCCTTTAACCAACTCTTTAATTGTCGCATGTGCTATCTTCTATGGCAGTTTTCAAGGAAAAGAATAAACCTGTTTAGTTTACTTGCACACTCAATTCTTTACTCAAAGTGGTGCACTTGGGTTTGTATGTACCATTTCAAATAGTTTTTGTTTTCTCAGAGATGGCAACGTTTCAGTGGTTGGTGGAATGTGTCCTATAGGTTAGATTTTAGAATGAGAAAGCTGTAACCTAGGCAGTTCACATTTTCTAATATCTATTTGAATTCATGCTTGGTGTTCCTGACACGTGTGTGTGTGTGTCTATATGTAAAAAAACTTTTTTTACATAATCTGTTCAAGTTTGCATTTGTCTGTGTTGGAGTGGGGTTTTTTTGGTTGTTTTTTTTTTCCAGCCTCATGGCTGTGTGATTACCTACCATATGGGCAAACTCCCTGATTCATGTTTTGGGTTCCCCCCCTGCTTTTTTTTTTTTTTTTTTTTTTTTTAAATCCTTTTCAGCCTGGTGTTTTGTGGCTTGGGTTTTTGACTTACAGCCATACAGATCAAAAGTATTAATGAAACAAATCTTTTGAGAGTCTGTGGTTTTGAAATGCTGCTTCTCCCCAGTCATGCCGTAAGGAACTTCCTGCTCTTTTCTTGCAATACTGATATTTTTTTTTTCTCATTTGTTCTCCTAATTGCTATTAGTGAAGGGATGCAGAAATTTATTTGATTGTAAAGGGAATAATCATGTTATTTGGTTGGTCTGCATTCCTAGCCTTGAAAGCTAGAATAAATCAATGTAGATTGCCGCAAATATGTTTTTGCTCTTTGGTGCTTTTTAGTCTTCTCTTTGTTATTTTATCTTCTCTTTAAATATAAAATTTATAAGCTTTATGGTATTTTGTTTTTTATTTCAGACTTATGCTCCTGCTCGTCTAGCCTGGTTGTAACCCTTTGGCTATTGATGGCTAACTTAATTCCCCTGCTAACAGGATTATTTCTCTGTGCATAGAGTTAAGCATGGGGCAAAAAAGATGTTCCGAGATGATATACTGTCGTCTTGCACTCCTTTTGTGGAGCATGGAGTTTTTTGTCTCTGCAGGCAGCTGTCTTCTGCTGACCCTCATCTCTCCTGGCAAGTATCGCTGCAGACAGTAGTCGGGGAGGTACTGACAAAAGGAGCCAGAGTTTGAGAGGAGGAAAACTGACCTTGTCATCTCAATAAGTGCCACTATTTTCCTGAATTCCAACCTTTGGGTTTTGGTTTTATTTTTTTTGATGCAGTAACGAGCTCCCCTATGCCAGCTGTGTTAGACTACCTGGCAACTTGGTCAAGATTTGAAATGAGAACTCTACTGTAATACAAGTGAGGGTTGGTTTTTTTTTTGTTATGTCCTCTGTGTGACTGGTAGCAAAGCATCCTCAAACTGGAAATATACCTCAGTGGTTTAGTCAAAAGCCATGTAAAAATCCGTGGTCATCACTGCTAATAACCCAGGCCTGTATAGGTGTGGGAATTTTTTTGTTTGTCTCTTTTGTCAATTCTTAGGATGGGGTGGGGGGGAGAGAAGAAATAATTTCATGGGATAGACCAGTGGTTGGCAGTTGTCTCCACAACTGGATTCTGCAGCTTTGAGGTTACTCAGAATTCATGCTAGTTTGCAGTAAACCAGCTAATTCTTGGTGTTTACTTAAACCTTCTGACATGCACAAAGTGGAATTTCAGACTGGTAATGAAGACAGCTGTCTAGAAATCCCATTCTCATTTAGCATGTGCCAGTTCTACTGTGAAATTTAATGCAACAAATGTTTGAATATTTTCTGAGTAATTTGCTAGGCAAATGCATTTTGGTACTGTTGCCTAGTCTGTAAAATCAGGATAGGATTTGTGGTTATTTTTAATTTTGTTGGTTTGTTTCTTAAATAATGGCATTATTATTTTTTAGTAAGTGAGCTGTTCTCACTTTTTGTTGAAAAGCAAACCAAGTAGGGATGGCAGCTATAATCTTACAGGACCATATTGACTTCTCTAGACCAAAAACTATTGAATGTGTAAAGAAAAGTCTAATCTGTCTTCTTCCCCCGTCTTCCCTCCACTTTTCCTTGGACATACAAATGTTATACATTATTTGAGAGTTTGTAATAAGTTGAGAATGAACCACACGAGGGCACACCTTGGTACAAAATTAATCACTTGATGGACAAAATATCTAAGAGGAAGGAAATGAGCGAAGGACAGCTGCTCTATAGGATGCTTGTAAGGATATTCGTTTCTGACTCCATAATGTTAAGAATAATTCTGTTTGGAGTAAAAGAAACTCTTAAGTGGTCCAGTCCATCGTCTGTCCTGTTAGGATAGCTTTCATTCTCGGGAAAGTGTTAAACTTGAGGGAGTGGAAGTGCCCAGTGCACTAAAACACGCAGGTACAGGGAGAAGGGTGATGTTACTCTGCTTCTTAATCGTGCTGTGATGTTAAGAGTTGTCAGTGACTAGGTCCCTCTCTAAAATGAAAGGTAGGGGGATGGAAGGGGTAGAGAGTAACATTTCTTTAGCTACAATTCCACTTGTTTAATAATGGGACTTGCATTGTAATTGTAAGAAAATATTTGTGCCTACTGGACTTGTTTGGGGTTTTGTAGTTATTTATTTAAAGAAACTTTTACGACACTGCTGAGGTGAGGAAGCTGCAACCTAAACCTGTCTGAAGGCATCACAGCTGAGAGAGTACCTTGCACTGGGCTAGTTCCCCTTCTTAACTGTGGGTTGAGTTTGCTCTGAATGATACAAGGCCTAGGCTAGCCTTGAATAGATGTTTCTGAGAAGCAATACAAATTAGGAATCAAATGCTTTAAATGTGTACAAGTTCGAATTAAGAAACGCTTGGATTAATAAGTGAACACTAATTATTTTAGTATCTGCACAATCAACGGTGTAAATTGATTCCTTGGAAGCAAAGGTTGGAGAATACACCTTAGGTCCCAGAGGTTGATATTGTATTTTTTGTCTGTTGTGCAATAATGCGGTTTAAATGGTATCACCCAACAACAATGCTTTTGATACTTGAAAAGAAATTATTGGTTATTTTTTTCTTACTGTGAAATATTTGCACTGTCTGAACTTCCTGGTTAACTTTATAACTGTTAAACTTTTTTACTGGTGTTAATTTATTGTGCTCGGTATTTGATATGCTAGTCTCCCGTCTGCGTAAGTGTGAGATCTTTTTGGTCATATTTAATTGAATATTTTTATCTTCTACACAGTTTATCTTGAGGGCTTTTCTTCTTTTAGTGTCTCTTCCTGAGAATTAAGTGAAAGGCGGCTTAAAAAGCCAACGCTTACCTACCGCTGAATTGTATGAGTTAATTAAAGAAAGAGGCTGTAGTGCATTGTACCCAGGGGGGGAAAAAAATCTGCCTGCCTGTCGGAGCGCTTGTGGTCAGACGTACCAGGACACGCTGAGCAGCTGCATTGCTGAACCCAGTGAAGTAAAACTATTACTGCCTTAATAATCTGAGATGTCAGTCGTAATTTCTTTGACGTGCAGCCCTTCAGCTGGCTGTGAACTGCAAAACTGGACGTGACGCTGGGGAGTTTGGGGGAGGGAGGGAGGGAGGAAACGTACTTTAGTGGGCGAAATCCAACATGTTGTAGCCCCTCGGTGCGTTGGCAGCTGTAGCTGTGTTGGAACTGCCAGGAAAGGTGTCAAGTTCAATTTAAAGTGAGAACGAATCTGTGTCTGTCAAAAAGAATATTTGAGTAAAACTGACTACCTCAGTTCTGTTTGTCCTGAATTTCCAAATCTTAAGACGAATTCAGTAAAAACATGTCTCAGGTTTTTAAGAGCAAAATAAATACAGTAGGAAGCGTAAGCCATTTTTGAGTGTAGAACGCAGCTAAAACTGTAGCTTAAACCAATCAGTTACGCAGCCTTAAGTCTTGGTTCCCCCTTAAAAGTCGGTTTTAAACAAATGCAGAGTTCGCAGGCAGCTGCTTTAGGTGCCCTGACCATGTTGCGGTAGGTCCATCCTATTGCATCTCTTACATGTGGAAACTTTTGACATCCAGCCCAGAGGAGCCCTCATGTGCTCCCCAGGGCGGACGGGGCAGCCGGAGCCCTGGAGACAGTGCTGAGAGAGAAATGAGTTCACTTGTCTGGAGCAGAAACACTTTCAGTAAGTAATGTCCACAGTTGTCATTTTTTTAATTTTTAAACACTCCGTGTTTGCTTATGGAGGTAAATTAGTCTTGTAGTCTCTTTATTTTTTTTTTTTTTTTTTTTTTTCCTAACCCCAGTAGTCCAGGTCTGTAACATTTCAGTTACAAGTCGAAGCCAGTCCTTTGGGAACACCTTTTCCTATGGGAACACCTTTTCCTAGCGGCAGTTACGAGGAGGAGGAGGAGGGATAGCTTTCAGATGGGAGTATGCAGCAAGTAAAATTACACTTGAAAAGCAGGGAGTTCTTTTCTCTTGAAATGAGCCAAGGTCTCAGGAGGCTGTCGCGGCCTTGGATGTAGGTTAATTACCGAGAGACAATTTTGAGCCCTGTTAATTGACTGTCGGTCCAAAGCAGCTCGCTCTTCCTACTGAGCACCAGTAAATTAGGAAGGCTAATGTCGCTGAAGACCAGATGTACCCTCCATCCCTTACAGGGGCCAGTTGGTTTTAAGTCTTCCTGTCCTGCAAATCTCTCTGCCCGAATTTATTTCGGTAGCGAGGCAGGCGTGCGTCCCTTCCTCCCCGCGTTCCCTAGGAGTGGCTTTCAGCCGGCTGAGCAGGTCAAGGTCTTTCCCCTGCAAGACTTAACAGCCTGCTTGTGCGTGGCTGAGCGCCCAGGTGCCTGCTTGCAGCGCTTGCTCTTTGGGTTTGGGTCTACTTGTGCATTAAATAACGTGATCTGACACGAGCAGACTTCCAAAGTGCAAACGTTGCCTTTTTAATGTGAAGCTTACCTTGGGAGATAAAACAACTGCTTTGAGAGAACTGGCTGACCTTGAACGCGTGTTTCCTATTTTGGTACAGAATGTAAATATAGAAAAAACTATTTTACATAGATTTTGATTGGAATGAGATATAAGGGCTAATTTTTGTTATTTATGGAGTAAAAATTTCCTTATTTTACTGTGTAAAGAAAAGTATGTCATACAAAAGAAAAAATTCTTCATCAATAAAACATCTGTAGAAAATTGACTCTTCTTGTCCTTTTCTTTGGGAGTTGACTGTTATTAACCACAAGAATAAGCGTAATAAAGGACCACCATTACAAAGGTAATTTATTTTGTGAGCATTTTGAAAAATGAAATTACATCAAGTCTGCATATTGATCACTTTATTCAACTGTTATTTGATACACTTTGAATGTAAATTGTTCTACGTTATTCTTGGCTCATACGTGACTCACAGAAGTTCAGCCTGCCGGTGAAATAAGGAGGTTCCTGAATTCTCTATCCCATCCTCATGTATTTGATGCTTAAAAATCACGCAATATCGAAGTCTATGTTTTCCACTTGAAATGGAAGATCCTAATTCCCTGTTTTGTGTAAAGGGTTTGGCCGCACGATTCCCATGCCAGCTGGAGGAGGAACGCTGGTGTTGCCCCGCGGAGCCCCGAGCCCTCGGCTGAGACTGGACTGGGAGCTGGGGAAGCTGAGCAGGGAGCAGTGATGCTGCAGCCGCCTGTTCTGGTACCCGAGCCACTTTGCTCACTGTGAGACTGAGGGGTTTACAATATATTTATAATGACAATACATTTTTTTAAATATATATATTTATTTTACCTGATAAATGTGAAAGACGTAACAACTTTCCTCTGAAATGCAGCGTGGAAACTATTTTATATTCTAGCTCTTTTCTCCCCCCACCCCCAGGTACTATCTCAGCGAATACATAGAGGGATTTAAGAAACCCACTTGCCTTCCTCTCTGCTATTTCGGAAAATCAGATAAAGCAAAGCCAAAGTAGGTTACTCTTCTTTTTTGCTTGCCTTGTCTCTAGATAGTCTTTTGAAAGGGTATTAAATCTTATAAAATGTGCCCCTGTTCATGTCGTAGGTGGCTTTAACTCTGAAAAATACCAGGTATGTAAAGTTACCCGAGTATAGCTATAAGGTTTAAAAACTTTTATGTTTCTAAAATTAATGCCATTGGTAGCAAAATAAAACCCCACTGGTATATGAACCAGTTTGTGTTTAAAATTCAGAAGTAGATAGCACTCGCTCGCTCTTCTGGAGTATGAGATGCGTTGCTTAAGCTCCAGCAGGATCGGGGCACGAGGCTGCAGTTGGGACAGCTCAGGGAGCTGCGCTGGTGTCCGGCCAGGGGTGTTTCCCCGTGGAGTTCAAATGCAGCTCCGTTTCAAATGCAATTTTGCAGGATTTCTGTGCGTCTAGAGCGGTTGTTTTTGTGCATGTATAAAAAGTCAAGTGTCACCGGCGGGTTGGCACTGTTACATGTTACGGCCTCAAACCAGCAGCGTTGCGCAAGCCGGGCCCTGCGTACATCCTCCTCCTCAGCCTCCAGTTCTCCCCTCTCAGCCTGCACCAGCTGATGACTGTGACTTGCTGAGAGACCCTGACGCTAACATAAGCGTGTTTGGCTATTCCAATTTTTTTTTTTTCTGTGTTCCAACAGAATACAGTAAGTTTAACGAGGGTTGGACAACTACTGAGGATTCCTAGCATCCTGAACTTGAAACAAGCAAAACACCTCCCTCCCCCCAAGCCCCATTCTTTCTCTGTCCCCCTGCCCCTTAAGCTGTTTTATTTATACATCTGCTGAACATCCATGTGTGCCTGAGCACAGCAACAATACCTATTTTTCCAAAGAGGCTTACACTGGGAAATGAAATCAAGGAAGGACTAAACGTCACAAAATACAAAATGTTATTTGTGTTTGAGTGGAATTATGGAAACCCAACATTTGCCCACATGATTGCATCTTATTGCTGTCAGACCTTTTTTCTTTCCTTTCTTTCTTTTTTTTTTTTTTGCTTTTTAAATTCTAATTCTTCTGTTTGGATGAGTTCTTCAATTTTTTGGCATCTTGTGCTCTTCCGTAAGTGCTATCAGTAGGCAGAACGTTGAGGTTCACGTGAGCTGGATTGAGCTCTTGTTACAGAAATTACAAGGGGAACTGGTTTTGGTCAACAAGAAAGCAATCCAAGGGAAATGCCCACGTTACTAACTCAAATCAAATGCTGTTAAATTTTACATTCATTTCCTGTTCCTTGGGTATAATGTTGAAATTAAAGGCAGGCAGTTTTTTTTACCCCCAGAACGAGGATACTGAAATACATTCTTTGTTGCTTTCACAGCAAGTGGTGTCACACAGCCTGTTTCTCTACTTTTATTTGCCGTGGGAAGATGAGGATGCGAGCAGGCGAGGAGAGCGGATCTCTAAATGTGCTCTGGGTGGTTCTGCAGGCACGCGATGAAATCGTGGATCGATTGACCCTCGTAGCAGATCCTGTAGATGGTTGTAAATAATGGAAACCTAAAAGAAGTGCATAGCAATGAAAATAGGTTTTTAAAGCTTATATAAACATTTCCATTCCATTTATAACGGGGAAAAAATATTTTTTGTTGCATTAAAAGGAAAGCAGAATTTTTTTCTCTCTTTATGATATAATTTGAACTTGGAGGTGCCTTTATTGGAAGACTATCCAGGGCAATTAAGAGGAGCTGGGGTCAATTCTTGGGGGCGACAGCAGAGAAGAGCTGTTCTGGAGACAAAATTGCTGTCCAATATTTCTTACTTACAAAAAATTTTGAATTGCATATCTTCTTTTTCCTCCTGTGTGCAAAATGCTTATATTATTTGCATTCTTTATGGTATTATTTGCATTCTTTACTGATATCTAAAAGGCTAAAAAGAACGAAAATGTCTAATGATTTTCTTTTCCTGGCTTAAAGGGCTCTTTTCCTTCTGCAAGCTGTCACCTTAGCCATTATGCGATAAAAAATGAGTCCACTGAATGACTTGGAGCCGAGTGTGTAACTAAGTGCAATTACAGGATACTTATTAGATCAAGTTTTGATTTAAAGTTCACATCCTGTCAAAATGAGCTTTTCTTTTATCTCTCTCATTTTTTGAAAGATAACGCCACTCAAATCTTCTATATTTGTTATAATTTTAGTAGGTTTTTAAAAAAGCATTCATTTAGCAGTGTTTGACCTCTCAGTACTGCTCGTGTACAAGAGGGAATGGGATGGAGGGGAGTTTAGCTTTTCTATCGTGTAAGCTGAGACAAAGGTTTCAAATAGTAAATAATCTTACATCATCCCAAACGGTTAGAAGTACTTTTTACCTCAGCGTTATTTGTGGCACTAAAGCATAGATACCAGCACGTATTACCTATTCAATGCATATAAAAAACTTTTGTTCAGGAGTATGCTCCTGAATTTTATTGTGAGATAACCTAGTTAACATCTGCAGGGAGAGCAGTGTTGCTGCAGGCTGTAACGGTGAGGTACTGAGAAGAAGAAACCCTCTCACCCACAGACCGTGTTTGCAAGCAGACTCTGCGTACAGCCTTCAGTCTTGTTTAGGGGGAGAGGGATGTCTGGGTACCTCCTTTGGATTATTTTTTGTTCATTTGTTTCCTGTATGTCTGTGGCTTGTTTTTCCTAATGCTGTTTAGGCTTCATTCCAATCTACTGACTGTGGTAATGAGAAATCAGGCGAAGTGAGCTCTAATGGTGGCTCAAGATGTATAAAACAGTTGTTGCAGAAATGGACAAGATAATTAAACTCAAGTACCATTAAGGAGATTATGAATCACTCATAATTTGTTGTTGATTCAGTTGGGTTTTTAAAAATCAAAGCACTCACTTATCAAGCATATTTTTCTGTTTCAGAATCTTGTAGACTTCGGCCGAGGTCTGAGGTCCTTGCAGCTTTTGTCCGTTCAGCAACTCATTTTCCAGTTCCTCAATGGACTAGAAGAGAGGAGACTGATTACTTGGATCAGAGGGGATACCGCTGCAATACCAGCAGTTATCAAGAAGGTAAACAGCTAACGATGCCTTTGTAAAACACAGAAGGATTTCTTTATGCGTTAGTGTAAAATATTTCAAAATCCGCCTTACTTTTCCTGTGCGAGCAAAGGCTTCTGCTACTTTCCTGTTGCGTCCCCCGTAGCAGGTAGTGATTAGATCAGCCACCCCACAGCTTTCCAGAAAAGTGGCGATTGATACCGGTCCCCTGCAGAACATCTTGGCAAAGGCCACCATTTCCATAAGGCCCAAGCGTATAACTGCTGCTTTGGTGTTATCGCCAAAATCCAGTCCGTCGCAGAACCCAGCTCCCACTGCTACGATGTTCTACAGTTTTGTGTGAAATATAGAGGAGGAAAGGAAACGGTCAGGCAAGACGTGTGGTTCATAAAGCTCAGTGCACACTTAAGAGAACCCTACAAATCGGTCTTCACCCCATTGACTGGAAGAAGGTTCAATTTCCAATGGCCCTGAGTTTATGTTTCAAAGAGGCAGACAGCCAACTACTGTTGAACAAAAGTGGCTGGGCTTTTAGAAGACTATTATAAAGTATCCTCTGCTATTCCCGTAGGCAAAAATCAAAGCAGCTTATTTAAGATGGTAATATTGCAATCATGTAGTGTGTATGCAATTAATGTTTTGTTTTTCTGCTATTTCCACATCAGAACTCGCTGTCTTTTCGGTTTTAACTATCTAATCCCACACGGAGCCATGTCTTTCCAGGGTTTCTTGGTGGGTCTCCAATTTAAACAGACATAGGTTCTATGTACTGATGCTGCAATTTTGGGTTTCCCTGCAAAAATGGTCAGTAGAACTGCCCTCTCTAAACAAATCTCTTGGGATCCTAAGCATCTTCACAACTCCTCACCATTGTCCTACACACCTCCTTTCCCACCTCCCAATTCTCAGCCTCTAAAAAGTCCCTAAATAAGTGTAGTTCACTGTATAGGAGTAATATGTCACCTAGTTCTGCCACTGAAGTGTTTGTGCCAGACACGCACGTGCCCCAGTGCAGATTTTTTTTTTTTTTTAGCAAAGGCAATGCCAAAGCAATGATTTCAAGATTTCAAGCAGCAAAGATTTCCCACAAAACAGAAACAACCTCTCTCCCCTCTGTGCCCGCCCCCAGTTTCAGTCTGTGGCCAAAAGCAAAATCTGGGAGTACTTGGTTTTGTAAGTAACGGAACTTTTCTTTTTGTCTGTAAGATTAAACAGGAGCAATTCTTCCCTAGCCAGTAATTCCCCCTCCTCCAAGGAAAGGTGAAGGAAAAACAAATGATTGAATGTATAAAAAAGTACAAAGGATCATGAGCTGGAGTCGCTTTTGGCACATTTAAAAACAAACTCTGAATCTCACTCAAGTGCCCTCTCATTGGAAACTTGGTGATTTTGGTATCGCCACTGATCCAGCCTGGGATGTTGACGTGGGCGTCGCTGAATGCCACACAGCCGTGCTGCCAACACAGAGCATCTGTTGCTTCTGATGCAAACTTTCTAGCAGGTTACTACTTGAACCATGGAAATAAGTTACTGGTGGAAGCTACTATATGTAGTAAGAGTCTTCGTTGCATGTGCTTACATCATGCAGACAAGAAAATACAGCAGGCTAAATTCTACCCTCAGAAGCAGAGGTGCCTCTGGTTAAATAAAGATAAAAATACAACTGTTTTGAAATGCTTTGCCAACAGTTATGTTTTTAACCAAATTTTCCCTTTTAAAACAGATTGGAAAATTGGCACACGAACATCTCATCTGTGCTCACTCATCATATGGTGGCATGACTCATGTTAGACCCTGTGGCTTACAGAAGACTCAGGTGAGGGTAGAATTTGGCCCTAAAAAAACCATTTTGGTTTAAAAATCACTCACTTTTAAGGCTCCACAAATCTCCACTGTATCAGAGTCAAGCACCACGGTAATCCTGAAATTAGGGGTCTGCATTAATTCTTTAAAGATCTCCCCTTGTCTTTCGTTTTTGCACCCTGTGGGAAGAAAGGACGAAAGTCAGAGCGTTTTTGCAATGTTTCAGAGTGAGCACAATGAACTGAAACCTGAAATAAAGTCCCAGGGGCCACTTCAGGATTTGTGGTCCCAGTAACTGGGCGTTGCTAAACAAGAGATTTGTGTGACAACGTTTCCTGCTGCTGGACGCCAGTGTTTAACATATGCAAGTCCCAGGGCATTGATCGGGCATCGCTTAATAACACTTTAAAGAGCTTAGAAGTAGGTAGCGCCTAGTGCCGCTTTCTGCCAAAGAAAGCTTGTATAACCACAAACCTGGCAAAAGAGAATACTTACAAATTGCTTTGTACACCACAACGGTGTAATTGCTGCTTTGAAAATATAAACCGGTATAATTCTTAAGTATTATTATGGGGTGTAAATGATTAAAGCCCAATCAATTCCCAATTACTGGAAGATCCACAAATGATGAGGTTGAACGTTGGCACTTGCTTGAACATTTTTGTAACCAATTCTACAGAGGTCGTGTATCGTGTCATTACAGTGCTCGCCCTAGGCACTGAGAGGAAAGGTAGCCAGCTGGGCAAGGACTTCCAAATGGAGTTTCACTTTGTTTCTATATGAGGCAACTTCTTTTCCTTCAGGGAGAGCTCAGCAGTGAGGAGCTATAGCATTTTCCAGCTGTTGCTCCCAGGAGGGGTTCTGGGCATTCAGTGGTCTTGAGTATTAAAGAGCCTGGGCAATAGCACTCTAGTAGCTGTGGGGCTTCTGCCCCATCTCACGAGAAACTTTGGGTTTGCTTCTCATCCTTCACAACAATTGATGTTGGGGGATATACCCAGTCTCTTTGAGGTGGCTGTTTCTGGGCTATCTGGCTTTCCACAAGGACAAAAGCAGGGGACAAATCTCTTTGCACCATCATCACCATAGCATGGCTTCAGACTGGGCCAGCAGAAGCTAAATTCCCCCTGAGAAAATGAATATTGCTCGACTCTCCTAATCATGTCTAGTCCTACTTGTGCCTAGTCACTGCCAGCAAGAAATGCCCAGCTGGTATGGTTTTAACTATGACTGTAACCTTTGCAAGGTAAAGGAACAGTAGTGCAACAATTATTTTTTTTGTCTTCCCTAGCTATGGAAGGATGTAACTTTAATTTCTGCTGACTTTAAAAATCAATAGGTTTTAAAAACTACCAGCTGAACTTTCCAAGTCAGGTCAGACCCAGTCAGTTCTGGGACAATCTGTGGCTACATCTTGGCAAGCAGTCTGAATGGGAGGGAGGAACAGAATGTTACTGGGGTTTGGGGCTTTTTTGTTGTTCTTTGGGTTGTTTGTTTGTTTTTAAACCAAGACGTTTGAAGATGGAGAAATACACCTCAGGGAGCATGAGCCCATATGAGCTTCTGATTGCACCTCTCCCTCTAGACCGCCAATGTACTCAGTGTTGAGCTGTACAGACACAAAAGGTGGCTCTTGCCAGCTCCTACAGAAACAGGATTAAGCTGTAATTTTTTTAATGGATTAAATTAGCTCTCAGCACTGAAACCCGCAATCGGTTTGGATCTGATCCTGCCAGCACCAAACTCCCTGGAAATCACACTGCCCCCCTGAAGGAGCTCAGCAGGCACCGGTCTTGGGAATGACAGGGGACGCATTGCATCCCCCTGCTACCTGCAGAGGTTATCCCCTTGCCACAGGTGATGTTAAACCACAACTCGTGGCTCCGGTTTGCTCTTTGCAGTAGTTACCAATGGTGGTTTCACAGAACTGCTCATCAGCCACTTCTTTGGCTATGTTGGCTCCCATAAGCACACTGATCTCTATTTTCAGTTTCTCTCGAATGAGGTCGGATATGAGCTTGAGGCCGTCAGGACTCTCATTGATCCCCTGAATAAAAGACAATAGTCAAAGCCAAGTTATTAGAATAGGAAAATGACAGCACTGGTAAAGCAGAATGTGTCCTATTGCCTGCAGCTCTCAGGTTTTAATTGGAAGGATTTGGGTCTTATATTCACTAGCATTAGCCATTAATACAAACGCTCTGGGTCTGTACTTTGATAACTGTGAATTCAAAGCAAGTTCAGGGAGAAGGTAACCCTGCAAGAGGCCTCGCATCCAGTGCTGCTGGCCTGAGGCTTTCTTTGACGCAGTATTTTTCCTTTGTGTTAAACTCTTGTAGTACAGAACCAGACTTTTAAAATTAAGCCTACAAGCAGTGGCTTTTTTGCAAGATCTAAGTATTAATCTGAGTGCTTCATTGGTATTAAGGAACATACTGAACTGCCTGGGGGGGGTTGAGCTAAAGAAAGAAGTAAATTTGCAGGAACTTCCTTCCTCTCCCACCTTCCTCTCCTCTGTGTACTGCTGCTTATCAGATAATGTGACAGGACAAGGGGTAATGGTTTTAAACTAAACCAGGGGAGGTTTAGACTAGATATAAGGAAGAAATTCTTTACAATGAGGGTGGTGAAACACTGGAACAGGTTGCCCAGAGAGGTAGTGGAGGCCCCATCCCTGGAAACATTCAAGGCCAAGTTGGACGGGGCTCTGAGCAACCTGATCTCTGGAGGGGGGTTGGGGTCCCTGCTCACTGCAGGGGGGTTGGGCTAGATGACCTCAATTTGAAATGGAATATTTCCTGCAATGGAAGCAATAGAAGAAGCAGTAGACTATATTCTTATGCTTGCCTCTGAGTTTGAGATTCTCTTAAAATATTAATTTAAGATTATGATAATCTGGTACCTCTAACCTTAAAAAGAGATTCCTCAATTCATGCCAGATTGAAATTGCCTCCATTCTACAAAATTAGTCATTAGTGTTACTGTACCAGTTTAATGCTGCCAAGAACAGCTTTAGCATATACTTGGAAGAGGCACTTCAACGCAGCGCTCTTTCCAGTTAAGAGTTAATTGAGGCTGTAGTCTGATGAGTATTTTTTTCTGGCGGCAGCAACAGCGTATGTAGCCCTCTCTCTGCCCATTTTCAGCTCCGTGCTGGTCCAAGTGGGAACCCATCCAGGCTAAAGATGGCTGGCAAAGACAGTTACTCTTAGCCCGGATGGGTTGCCCCATCCTTTCCTCTCTGTGGCCACATGAGCAGCAGAAGGGCTGGCAGTGGCTGGGTAAGTTTTAGCTCTTGCAGAAAGAAGTGCTTGTGTTTATGCAGAACATGCAGCTGAGGATTTGAGCTTCTCCCCTTAGGTGGGAGATATTTGCTTACTTTGTATGGACTGAGCCTTGTGGAGATGATGACTTACCTTGATCAGTGAAATCCCGAATGCCCCAGGCTTTATCTGGCCTGCAATCTGCTCGCAGATTCGTCCAAGGAATTGATGTGGCAGAACAAACATTAAAATGTCTGCCCCATTTGTTGCTTCAACCACGTCTGGTACAGCCACCTGGGACAAGAGTGACAACTGAAATGAGCCCCAGGTAGGAATCCTCACACCTTGCAAGATACCAATGTGCTGAAGCCATTGCAGATGCGTTGCAAATGTCCTTAATTTTAACTGGCACTCTTTTGTAGCTGCTAGATCTTCATGTGAGCAACTGCAGCAATTTTCTGAAGTATCCAAAGCAGCCTAACTTTTTTTAGGTCTGGATTTTTTAAAAAAAATTATTTTTTACTTCCCTCCCATCCCAGCCCTGTGTGGATTATCTGAGGAAGATGATTTTTTTTCTAAACTTGCACCATCCTGGTTCTTCTGGAATGAGTGGTAGCACTGGGGAGCACAGGAACAAACTGGGGTGGTGAGACAGAACCTCTTGTGGCAGTCTTTGGTTTCCATAGGTCACCAGCTGAGAGTTACTCAGTGTCCTCTCCAAGCAAGTGGACGACAAAAAGATCATCAGGAGTACCCAGCACGGATTCACCAAGGGGAAATGCTGATGCTGAACAGGATCGGCCCTGACGTTGTTCCTTGAGCAATGCCACCTCTGCTGAGAGGGACCTGGGAGTCCTGGTGGACAATAAGCTGACCATGAGCCAGCAATGTGCCCTTGTTGCCAAGAAGGCCAATGGTATCCTGGGGTGTATTAAGAGGAGTGTGGCCAGCAGGTCGAGGGAGGTTCTCCTCCCCCTCTACTCTGCCCTGGTGAGACCCCACCTGGAGTACTGTGTCCAGTTCTGGGCTCCCCAGTTCAAGAAAGACGAGGAACTCCTAGAAAGAGTCCAGAGGAGAGCTACTAGAATGATAAAGGGACTGGAGCATCTCCCCTACGAGGAAAGGCTGAGAGAGTTGGGCTTGTTCAGCCTGAAGAAGAGAAGACTGAGAGGGGATCTCATCAACGCATACAAATATCTTAAGGGCGGAAGTCAAGAGGACGGAAGCAGTCTGTTTGCAGTGGTGTCCAGCGACAGGACTAGGGGCAATGGATGCAAACTGAAACACGAGAGGTTTCAGTTGAATATGAGGAAGAACTTCTTCACTCTGAGGGTGGCAGAGCACTGGAACAGGCTGCCCAGGGAGGTTGTGGAGTCTCCTTCTCTGGAGATATTCAAAGCCCGCCTGGATGAAGTCCTGTGTAGCATGCTCTAGGTGAGCCTGCTTTAGCAGGGGGGTTGGACTAGATGATCTCCTGAGGTCCCTTCCAACCCTTACGATTCTGTGATTCTGTGAATAAACTATATCAAAAGGCAGAGATTATCATCATAATCTTTGGGGGGTATGTGTCTTTGTTTTAAATATTTAGTAACTTGACCAACAGTTACGAAAACCTATACAACAGCATAATAACCGGCAAGCTGTATCTTCCTCCAAATGCTAGTGCTACTCCGAACAACAATTCAAGCCAGGCTACAGAGGCGACACAGGTGAATTTGAGCCTGCTATCACCAGCAGTTTACAATCAGAGCGAGCGTTGCCCTTGGACGTAGCCTTGGAGCACTCCGCCTTAGAACAAGCGGGACTTACAGCGGGAGAACCAGAACTGCTGCCAGAAAGGCTGCTTCTCCGGAAAACAGCAAAGCGGGAGTGGGGAAGAGGCTGGCAGTGCTCTACAGCCAGTGTTCCTGTCTCGCCAAAATGTTGCAGAGCAATACAAGAAAAAAATCAGGGTGGTGGGGTTTTTTTCTTCAGCTGGAGATGAAGACATGAGAGTCCCTCCAGGCTTTACTGCAAACCAGCTGATTTCTGCTGGTAAAGCCTCAGACTTTGCTATAGACAGGATGAGGCTGATCTCAAGTCATGATGACAAGCCTGTTGATCTGCTCGAGGGTTGTAAAAATAACAGTGACAAGTCAGTTCTAACCCAGGAGAACTGTGTGCCAAGTTCAAACCATGGAAGTGCAAACATGCAATCACAGCACTAAATGGAGTACTAAATATAACCATGCTCCAAGCAAGGAGACCCACCACGTGCAGCATCTTCACTTCCTTTTACAACTGCAACTGTTCCAGAAACATGGTGCTACTTTCTTCAATTCACAAAAATGGCATTTAATTCACAAAAGTGGCATTTGGCAAAATCTTGAACAGCCAAAACCCCTCACCTTGCTTGCTTTAGTAGCAATAAATTATCTAAGCTGATTAACTTAAGTAGAGATGCAAATTTGTTATTTTAAATGTCCATGAAATATGTATTTTTGGTGGAATCTACAGCATTATTAATTATAGCAGTGTGTTGCTATCCTGAAAGCACCCATGAGCCGATAGCTCATTCGTCGTCTTGTAATCCACAGCTGTTAGCTGTGCTATTGATTTCTTTTTTAGAAGAAGGGAAAGCAGTAGCTTTCCTTTTTTTTTCCAGAAGATGCTGTGGGTTTGAAATAGCTCAGCTCTGTGTAGACAGATCTCTGCCTGCCATTTCTAGAGTTCTGCTGATTTCTGCCGGAGAGGAGGAGGGTGCATTACCAGCACCTGACACAGTTGGGTGTTTGAAGTTGCGTGTGACATAGGAGACAAGCAGAAGTCATGGTGGCAAAACAGAATGAAGCAGTAAATCACTTCCTAATTTTAATTTTGCCAGATGTTGCCTCCTTTATAAAAAAATAACAATATTTCAGTGATTTTTTTTTTTTTTTCAACTTACCACATTTTTGGGTATCTTGTATCCAGGCAGATATTTAACATTTTCATGTTCCTGGTTGATTATTTCTGAGAGTTTTCTTCCATTGATGATCTCTTCGAATACCCACATCTTGACAGTAGGATCAAATCTGTTGGACTTCTGGACATTTTTGCCAACGATTCTTGCTATGGCCGATCCCCTTTAAAAAGAAAAAGAATTGAAATAACTAATAGGAAACAAATAGTTTTATTTTGAATTGGAAACACAAATTACTTTAAACAAACTCATAAAAGGCCTGTGCTATAAAGCTGTTCAGGTGCTTGCTACATTTATCAGAAAGCTTTATCCGTTACCCTGCATCAAAACCCCCTCAGTTTAAAAACACAGGAAGTAGAACCAGAAAACGTAACTGTAATAAGGGAACTGAAGTCATATCAAGGATTATAGAGTGGGAATGCGATGTACCATCAAGAGCATTAAAAATACAGTATCTGGGATTAAAATCTCTCTTGCTCCTCGGATAATTCTTTTTCTCTAAAGACCAGCAAATATAAAATAATCCAGGTAGCAAAGCACTGCTGAACGATCTTGCTGTGACAGTCTTTGTGCATCTCATCTAAAATAGATGCATCCCACTTTCCTACCAATAACCAAACAGTTGCAATAAGGATTTTATGTAAGAGCTAAATCCTCAGAAATTGTTCTTTTCTTAAAAAACAAACCAACCAACCAAAACCTTCAACCCAATGGTTTCTCTTTATTTATTGTTCTAATTATCACTGTAACAGGTTCTGTAACAGTTGCAAGCCTAAGGATATTTTAACTATCTGGTTTACTCTTCTTCAGTCATGCTGAGCATTTTTTAATCTCAGTTTAAACAATAATTTTATTTCCCTATCCACCACTGCAGCCTTGCAAACGTTCACTTATTTTCTGGGCACGAGGGAATGAAAAACGCTGCAGAAAATATTGGAAGTATTGCTTAATGCACTTTCAATTATATGGGAAGGAGGGGTGATTATTTTTACTCCTCTCTTCCCTCTTTCCATTTTAATGCTACTTTAATCTTCCAAGTACTGGCTGGTTTACTAACACAACTGAAAGGGAGCTGCGGTTGCAACGTTCTTGTCCTGTGACCCACTTGTAACATGCCCGTCGTGAGGAGCGTAAACAGGGTTTAGCTGTGGTATGTTCTCTGGAACTGATAAAGGCTTCAGGTAAATCCAAGACAAAGTCCTGGTAGGTCTGTGCTGTCGATGGTCCAAAGGGAAACCACGTTGTAACTGGCTCTCCTTGGCTGAACCATATTTTTGATGTAACAGGTTTGCAGAAGGCTGAATTGCTCAATAAGTAATAAAAGAATAAGGGCTTCATCTTAACCTTTAACGATAAAGAAATCCTACTGAGATCAGGTTTCACTTTGCTCAGTGTTGACTGCATACGGTATCCTGAGCTGCCGTAGTGCATTCTTTCTAAAAATGGATGCCTGGGTTTGGCCCTTTAAAATATGTAGGGCAATGTTTGGTTTGGGGGTGAACCTTTATTGTAAGAGAAATATCATCTTTAAAATGACTTATATATTGGTTCTCTTGCCCTGCTATCAAGAGAGAGCACAATGAAGGCCTGAGCTGAGGATGACTGTGGCTCAGCACAGAAATGTGTATTAAGAAGAGAAGTTGTTTTGATGGATAAACCTGATTCATTGCCCAGGTTGTGCTGGAGACTCCAACTGGAGTCTCATATGATTTTCTGCTGAAAGATGCAGATTCCAGCTCTAACCTCTGAAATCCTGAATGGGACTCGCAACTCTCAATAGATAAGTCTGATCTTCCAGCAGAGCTGTCATTACTACCTTGCTTGGGTGTTGCACCCAAGTACTTAACTTCACCAATATCTTGTCAATAGGAATCTCAGGCGTAAAGGTAGTTCCATAAATGAGAGTATTTTTCTTTGCTTTCTCTTTAGATAAATGGGGATTTGGGGGAGAAAGGGTTTAACATTTAAAAGGCATTGAGTGGTCATCAGGAAAAATACCTCCCCACAAAACCATCAAACAGTTCAAAACCTGATGCTCTGTTTGACTTAGTCCATTTAAAATTCAGTTCCCGCTGATCTGCCTTGGGAAGAAGAATTGCTTTGTCTGTGAAGGCGGCGTTCGGTAGACTACACAGATGTGGCAGAAGGGGGCTGCTTATGCAAACAAACCAAGGATGTTGCTCACATATAAAGACTTTTCCATGGTTTTATTTTCTCCAAAACTCAATTTAGTGAAGATAAATAAAAGGCAGAGAACTCCACTTAGATAATTTTTATAAGTAAGTGAAAACTGCCAATCAGGTTTTTTTCCCCCCAATTATGTTAATTAATGTTAGAAGTGATTTACATGTTGCTAAGAAAAAGAAAGCTTTTATCTGGAGATTTTCTATCAGTATAATGAGAAAGCTTTGATGTAGAATAACTCAAATAAGACCTGTTATTTACATATGCGAACATGGAAGTGTTTGTGGCGTACAGCAGCTCTGGTGAAAAGGAGAGCTTAACCGACCCCATGAAGCAGCTAGTCCCTGCCCTATACAACGGGCAGCCAGATATAGTTATCATAGAATCATAGAATGGTTTGGGTTGGAAGGGACCCCTAGAGGTCATCTAGTCCAACCCCAGCTATGCTGTTCCTAATTGTTTTTCCGAGGAGGTCTTAAAGACCTCAGCAGTTGCAGGTCTCTTCCCCAACCAGCCCATCCCAGGATTTCGCTATCCTTAGCATTAGCAAGATCATCCTCATGTTCAATCTGTCTTTCCTACTGCAGTTTAAGCCCATTTCTATTCTAGAAGGCTGCAATATTGTTTTTCTCCTTGAGCTGCTTGAAGATGATCCTGTCTTTCTTAGCCAACCACCCCAATTTTTTTTAAATTATAGTATCGCTCAGGTTGGAAGGGATGATGAGAGGGCTCCAAAGTGGGAACAACGCTAGGTTCAGATGGGTTGCAAGGCTTTGTTCAGTTGAGTCTTGAAAACTCTCCAAGGACCACCTCCTCTCTGGGCAACCTGCCCCAATGCTTTATTATTCTCATTATTTTTTTTTTTCTCCTCTCTTTATATATTGAGTCGGAACCTCCTCTGGTTCAATTTATGACCACTGGCTCTTGTTTTCCTTCCGTGCACCTCCATAAAAAGCCTGGCCATCTGTTCATGTTGAAGACAAGAACCTAGTTCAAGCTGGATCTTCACTGAGGACTCTGCAGTCCAAATGAATCTAAGAAGATTGGGAGAGCTTTTGGATTCTGAAGGGCCAGGCAGTGAATTAAACCTCTATTTTTAAAAACAGACAACTGAACCATGATTAACGTAAACACAAACCCTCCTGTGCTTGGCTGGCAACTACAAAATGCAGTGCAGCACTTATTTTTCTTAACCACATCACTCGTGAGTCTCCTGGTGGTGGTGACTTAGTA